AAAAAAAAAAAAAAAAAAAGAAAGAAAGAAAGAAAGAAAATGTTCATCACCAAATTTTTTGCATTCACTTTGGGCTCTTAAACTATTGCATTCAAAAGTTACTTATCTCAAGAGAATAGAAAGACAAGCCACAGACTTGGAGAAGGTATTGACAAGACACAGCCGATAAAAGGACCAGAATCCAAAGTACATAAAGAATTAACAATTAGAAAGCAAAAAACTGGATTTTTAAAAATAAGCCAAAAGGGCCAGGGATTTAGCTCAGTGGTTCTGCCACCTGCCTCGAAAGTTCAAGGTTTTGAGTTCGATCCCTGGTACCAAAAGAAAAGATCTGAACAGACTCCTCTCTCAAAAATATATACAGATGGCAAATACACATACGAAAAGTGATTCGTATCATGTATCATCAGGAGATAGGCACGATGGTGCACATCTGTCATCCCAACACTCAGGAGGCTGAGACAGGAGGATCACAAGTTTGAAGCCAACCTGCTTGTGGACCTGTCTCAAAATAAAAGTAAAAATTAAATATAATAAAAAGTATCAGGGTGTAACTCAGTATTCCCTGGGTTTAATCCCCAATACAAAAAAAGAAAAAAAGTAGAATGTAACAATATCAAGAGTGAGCCCTAAAATAGACTACGGACTTTGGGTGATAGTGACGAGTCAATGTCAATGTAGGTTTTATCGATTGTGACAAATGTGCAATTCTGGTAAGAGATGTTGACAATGGGGGAAGCTGTGCCTATGTCAGAGCAGGAGGCTTATGAGAAATCTCTGTACCTTCTGTTCAGTGTCGCAGTGAACCTAAGTCTAAATTTGTTTGTGTTTGTTTGAGACAGGGTCTCGCTATGTAGTTCAGACTGCTCTGGAACTCACTGTGTAGCCCATGCTGGTCTCAAACTCGCAGTGGTCTTCCTGCCTCAGCCTCCCAAGTGCTGGAATTACAGGCGTGCACCACCATGCTCAGCCTGTCTAAATTTTTAAAAAGAATTTTTTCAACCAGGGATGATGGCACATGCCTGTAATCCTGACATTCAGAAGGCTGAGACAGGAGAATCATTGTAAACTCAAGGGCAGCCTGGGTTACGTAGTGAGTTCAAGGCCAGCCTGAACTACACAGTGAAACCCTGTCTCAAAAAAATAAAAAAAAAAAAAAAAAAAAAAATCCAAAAACAATTTTATAGGGCTTTTTGTTTTGTTTTGTTTGTTTGTTTGTTTGAGACAGGGTCTCACTATGTAGTTGATACTGACCGGGAACTCACTACGTAGCCCAGGCTGGTCTCGAACTCACAGCGATCCTCCTGCCTCAACCTCCCGAGTGCTGGGATTATAGGCGTGCGCCACCACACTGGCTAATTTTTTGGTTTTTTGAGATAGGGTTTCACTATGTAGTTCAGCCTGGCTTTGTACTCACTATATTCCAACTTTTGGGGGGGGGTACCGGGAATCAAAGTGGGGGCCTTGTGCTTGCAAAGCAGGTGGCAGAACCACTGAGCTAAATCCCTAGCCCCTTTGAACTCACATTGTAGCCCAGGCTAACCTTAAATTCTCTGCAATTCTCCTGCCTCAGCCTCCTAGGTGTCATGCCAGGGTCACAGGCATATACCACCACATAAATATCTATTCATCCTGATAGCTGATTTGCAGCTGCACCCAAGGATGATGCCTCCCCCTAGGCAGTGCCCATACCCTCCACTTGGTGCTACCAGGAATGGCCCCTCATCCCCAAAGCCTTGGAAACCTGGGCTTGGAGGAGGGTAGTGCCAGTGGAGAGTGGATCCCGTTCATGTAGTCCCTGGTGTCCTACGTCCTGTGTCCAGCTGTGTGCTGGATACTTGATAGCTGAGTGGGTCCCAGGGGAGGCTCCCTGGGGAGTCCCAGGCCAGGTCACTCTGGACTTGGGGGAGGCAGGGGCTGCTGACTCAGTCTGCATCTGAGCCTGGTGGGTCTCCTGGACTCTCAGTGGGTGGTACAGAAAAAGCATTCAGATGCATAGCAGACCAGCCTCGGGAGCCCGCCCTTGACATGTTTTGTTTTGTTTTGTTTTGTTGTTTTGTTGTTTTGAGACAGGGTCTCACTATGTAGTTGACACTGACCTGGAACTCACTATGGAGCCCAGGCTGATCTGGACTCACAGAGATCCTCCTGCCTCAGCCTTGCGAGTGCTGGGATTACAGGTGTGCACCACCACGCCCGGCTCCACCCTTGACATATGAATGGAGGAGACACTGGCTCATTCAGTAGGACGCAGCCAAAAGCCCAAGGAAGTGGAAGGACCCTCACTGTCATCCCAGGTGAACCCAGAAGCTGGCTCCTGGGACAGAGCCCAGGTTCTCCAGTGCTCAGGCCCAGACCTGGCTCTCAGGTCCATCTGGGGGTCAGGGCCTGTAACTGGGTAACAGTTGACAACATCGCTCACCATGGGCTTCGAGCAGGCCTCAGCGCAGACGCTCCTGGTGGTGGTGCCACCTCATCCCATCTACTCCTCGGGCAGCTAAGGCAGGAGAAGCTCAAGTGTGAGCTAAGCCCAGGCTAATTAGTGAGACCTTGTCTCAAAATAAAATAAAAGGGGATGGGGGTGGACTTCAGGGGTAGAGCACTTGCCTAATATGTACAAAGCCCTGAGTTCAATCCCCGATACCCAGGAGAGGTGGGGAATCCTTGTTCCCACCACCCTCTTGGGATGCGCCTGGTTCACTGACCCTTGACGCTAGGGACTGGGATGGCCCAGGAGGGAGAGACCTCGGGGCCCTGGTGACTTTGAACCAGGACACCCTGCTCCTAAGCACCTGCTGCCTCCAGCTGCTCTGTGAAGCAGCTGTGTCACTCACCTCACCGCTGGACTTTGACAGGCTCCAAGGGCTCTGCTCAGCTCTTCCCACCTGTCGCCTTCCAGCACAGCGAAGTTCTTGCTGAGGCCAACCAGATAGGTCTCCTCCAAGTTGGAGTCCCATGATGAGAGCCCACAGTGTCTTCTGGATCCTGCTCGGATTGCTGCTGTGGCCGGAGCCTGGGACAGGTGAGTTGGAGGACAGAGGCCTGGGACCGGGACACTCAGATCCACAGAAGGGTACAGTGGCCCCTCAGGCATCAGGCCCCGCATGCAGCAAAGCCAGCGAGACCGACTCTCAAGGAACCTCCAGTTTGGGGACTCAAATGCTCCCAGCCCCATAGAGCCAAGACAGGGATGAGGGCTGGGTGTGTTGGCACACGGCTGTGATCCCAGCACTTGGAAAACTACCCAAGTACCTCCCAAGCTACTCAGGAGGCTCAGGCAAGAGGATCACAAGTTTGAGGCCAACCTCTGCAATTTAGTAAGACCCCGTAGCAGAAGAAAAACTAAAAAGGGTTGAGAGGAGGGAGTCCGTCAGCACTCCTTGGGTTAAATCCCAGTAACCTTCCCCAACAAACACACACGCGTGTCACCAACAGTGGTTCTTGGCTAGTAATAATGTTGAATAAATATCAGTGATTTATCCTAGGAAACCGGACACCTCTAAATTCTAGGGTTTTATTTTGAGACAGGGTCTCGCTACATAGTCCAGGTGAGCCACCACATCCCATTTAAATTCTAAGCTTTTGCCAGGCATGGCGACACACACCTATACCAGCACTCGGGAGGCTGAGGCAGAAGGATTGCCATGAGTTCTATCCTGGGTATCGTGGTACACTCCTGTGATCCTAGCACTTGGGAGGCCGAGGCAGGAGGATCACTATAAGGTTAAGGCCAGCTCGGGCTACATAGTAAGTTCAAGGCCAGTCTGAACTATACAGTGAAACCCAATCTCAAACAACAATAACAATAATAACAATAATAATTCTAGGTTTCTAGCCATTGAAAAGGCACAATCCCACCCTCCTCCTTTTCTTGGGCACCCTTCCAGATATCTTTCCCTCTAAAACTCCTAACTCCAAAGTATCACCCAAAATGGTGAATGCTTTTCTTTTCTCTTCTTTCGTTTTCTTTGGAGACAAGGTCTCACTGTATAGTTCAGGTTCAGGCTGTCCTTGAATTCACTGTTGTCCAGGCTGGCCTCAGACTTGCAGCAATCCTCCTGCCTGAGCCTCTCCTCACAGGCATGCACCACCAGGCCCAGCGGCATCTTTTCTTAAACGTCTAGAGACCCCCTGTGCCTTTGTCCATACCTCCACACCATCTTCCCACCTCTCTTTCAGCACCCTGAGAATCCATTTCCTCATGACAGCCGTAGGAAAAGATCTTAGAATGCCAGCCTGGCCTCTCCTTCCTCTCCTGCCTATAATCATCCATGGCTCCCCAGTGCTCCCACCCCCTTAATCAGCAGACAGCAGTCTGACTGCCTCTGTTTCTTCCTGTACACAAAGGACAGTTCTGGGAGTCACCAAGTTATCAGGTGGAGAGCTCAAGGAGGGGGAGCTGTGGGATCAGCAGGGGATGCTTGGAGACAAATGACATGTTCTCTCTCCTCCAGCCTCCTTGCCTCTGTTCATGAACTCCGTCATCCAGGCCCTGGGTGAGCTCGAGCAGAAGGTGCCAGGGGCTGAGGCCAACCAAAGTGCCTCTGCGTGGATTCTATCAGCCCAGAGCTCTGGGCCCCGCCATCCCCTCCACCACCTCCTGCTGGAGGCACCAAGTCTCAAGATTACCGAGCTGGAGCCAGCACCACTGAACCCAGAGCTTCAAGACCTGGTTCAGAAGGTGGCCCAATATGATGTCCGGGACGGGCGGGAGCACGGGGTGGTCCTGGCACCCGATGGCTCCACTGTGGCTGTGAACCCTCTGCTGGTGGGACTGACAGCTGGGCTACAAGTGCGCAAGGTTTTAACCTCAACCTTGTCCTCGGAAAGCCCAGCCACCTCCCCCAGGCCCACTGATGGTTTTCCAGATATTGCCCCTACAGATGTCAGAGCCTCCCTACCAAAAGGCGGAGCTGAGTTGCTCCGCACTACAGACAGCTTCCTGACAGTCACCCTTGCTGCAGATCTGGGCCTGACCTTCCTCCATGGCTCCAAGAACAAGAGACTCCCAAACCTGGGAACTGATGGCTGCTGGGACCAGCTCTCGGCCCCCCAGAACTTCATGCTGTTGAACCCCAGGACATCCATGCTGACCACGGCCTTCCTCAATGGTGCCCTGGATGGGGCCCTCCTTGGAAACTACCTGAGCAGGGTCCCTGAGCCCCGGCCACTCCTCAGCCGCCTCCTGAGCGAGTACTATGGAGCTGGGGTGGCTGGAGACCCTGAGTTCCGCAGCAACTTCCGGCGGCAGAAGGCGGCTACTCTGACTTCAGCCTCCATCCTGGCCCGGGAGGTGATGGAGGCTCTTTCCCTGCTACAGGGTGTGGAGCCAGGACTACCACAGCTGAAGAATGTCAGCCAAGAACAGCTGGCCCAGGTGGCCATCCACGCTGCCAGGGAGTTCATGGAGGATTTCCTGGGTGAGAAGTTCCCCTTACCTTGTGCCCTTCCTGTCATAGACACAGGCATTACAGTGCCATGGGATCAGGGAGATGCAGGGCCACAAGCGTCCGGAGGGTACATTAAGGACTTCCGATGAGGGGAGGGCAGGACTGTTGCACATGTGAAGAAATGTTAGAATGGGGCCTTAAAGGATGAATAGTTTATCTGGGGTTTTTTTGTGGGGGGTCTGTGCTTGGCTTTGTTTGTTGTATGGCAGGGAGTGGGGATTGAACCCAGGGCCTTCACATGAAGCTGCATCTGCAGCCCTGTTTTTGTTTTTGTTTTTGTTTTTTTCTGGCGCTGGGAATTGAACTCAGGACCTTGTGCTTGCCAGGCAGGCACAGCGCCACTGAGCTGCATCTCTGGATCCCTTTTTGTTATTTTCAGACAGGGTCTTGCTAAGTTGTTAAGTGATCCAGTTAGGGATCAAATTTGTGATCCCCTTGCCTCAGCCTCCAAGAGTGCTGGAAAGACAGGTTTGCCCCAAGAACCACAATAAACTTTATCTGAATTTTTTAAAGTGAAGAAGAGCTAGGTATGGGAGAACATGACTGTGAGCTCAACTCCTTGAAGCTGAGGGAGAAAAACATAGACTCTGTCTCAAAAAAAAAAAGAAAAAAAGAAAGAAAAATGAAAAAGGGGTGGGGGCATAACTCAATAGTATAGCACTTGCTTAGTAGGCACAAGGCCCAGGATTTGATCCCCAGCACTGCTTGGTTTTTTTGTTTATTTTGTTTTTGTTGCGGGGGGCAGGGTCTTACTATGCAGTTCTGGCTGGCCTTGAATTCACAATGTAGTCCAGGCTGGCCTTGAACTCACAATGGTACTCCTGCCTCAGCCTTCCAAGTGCTAGGATTACAGATGTGCACCACGATGCCCAGAGCCAGCACTGCTAAAAGAAAAAGGAAAAAGAAAGTGAGACAGGGGTTGTTATAGTCAGCTTTCCATTACTGTAACAAAATACCTGAGACAAAACAACTTAGGAAGAAAGGTTTATTTTGGCTCATAGTTTTCAGTGCATGGTCAGCTGTCCAACCTATAAGAAGGCAACACATCATGGTGGAAGTGAGTAGCATGCGACAAAGTAAACTGCTCACCCCCTGCAGCTAGGAGCAGAGACAGAAAAGAAGGACCAGGGTCCCAGTGTCCTCTCCAAGGCACATCCCCAGTGACCTAACTTCCTTTCACTAGACACACTTTGAAAGGCTCTACCACCTCCCTCCCAGTAACGCCAAGCTGGGGATGGAGCCTTTAACCCCTGGCCCTTTGGGGACATCCAAAGTCCACACCATGGCCAGGACATTGCAGAGAACAGGCTCAGCCAGTGCAAATGGGCAGAGGCTCAAGTGGAAGTTCAGCTCAATAAACGCAGCCTGATTTCTTTCTTAGCATTGTTGCTTCTCCCTTAGGTCAGGGCAGGGCCAGCTAGAAGAAGCATTGGGTCACTATTCCTGCTCCATTTTAAGGCCCCGCCCCTGCTTTAACCTGACTCTACCCGCCACAGACTCCTCCTCCCCTGTGACAGGCTCTGCCCACTAGTTCCACTCCCACCTTCAGCCCTGTCCCAGATAGAGGCAGCCCTGGACCATTCACTGTTCCTTGACCGTCTGTTCCACTCAGGCCCCAGGCCCCGCCCACCTTAGTTGACGTCTGCCCTTGAAGTCTGTGCTAAAAAATTTTTTTGAGTTTTATTTCAAAGGTAATAGGAGGCACAGTGGATATTCCAAAACTGGGATATTCCAGGACTTTGATTTCATTAAGTTAGATTTTAGTAGGGGCCAGTGTGGGGTGAGACTGGACTCTCCCCAAATCCCCCCACGTGTGCACGTCCAGGGGGTGCAGATGACGGGCAGGAACCCTTCCTGACTCAGCTTGGACTCCCTCCTGTTCAGCATGCCCGGCCATCCACCCCCGCTGCCGCTGGGAAGCCGCGGCCTACCGGGGTCTCCCGACGCCACTGAAGCTGCCGCTCAGGTTCTTGTATGTGCATCACACGTTTGTACCGGCGGCACCTTGCACCACCTTCGAGCACTGCGCCGCCAACATGCGCTCCATGCAACGTTTCCACCAGGACACGCGAGGCTGGGACGACATCGGCTTTAAAGGCGGAGGAGGAGTTTGTGATGGGTGGAGTCAGGTTAGAGAGGGGGCGGTTCTTAACCGGGACCCGTAATTGCTAAACAGCAGGACTCTTGGGGAAAGTCTAGGACCTGGGGCAGGAATAGGGAGACCTGTGGGGTCGGGTCTGCGTCTGGGGTGGGCAGTGATGGTCTAAAAAGCTCCCCCCTGGGTAAGATCTATAAAGGCGGAGGAGGAGTTTGTGATGGGTGGAGTCAGGTTAGAGAGGGGGCGGTTCTTAACCGGGACCCGTAATTGCTAAACAGCAGGACTCTTGGGGAAAGTCTAGGACCTGGGGCAGGAATAGGGAGACCTGTGGGGTCGGGTCTGCGTCTGGGGTGGGCAGTGATGGTCTAAAAAGCTCCCCCCTGGGTAAGATCTATACCTGAGAATAGGAGACCTGGGGGGGAGAAAGGGGACGCAGCCAGGGCTGAGGGGATGATCCAGAGAGACAGGAAGATTTCCGGGGTGGCACTTGGCATGGAAGTGGCGTGGAGCTGAACAGGACAGAGGAAGGGAAACCCACTGGGGGTCAGAGGGCCCTTGGGGGCTGGGGCTCTTAAGGTGAGATGTTCCTTGAGGCTAGATGGTTCTCAGGGTCGGATGACTCTTGATGTCTGGTGGCCCTTGGGATCACATGGTCCCTGGAGTCAGATGGTCCTTGGGGTCAGCTGGCCAGTGACGTCAAGGGACAGAATGGGAAAGGGTCGCCTCCCTCAGCAGTGCCACAGTGCCTTCCCCCCTCCCTTGCAGTTTCGTGGTGGGCTCTGAGGGCTACGTGTACGAGGGCCGCGGCTGGTACTGGATGGGCGCGCACACGCGCAGACACAACTCCCTAGGCTTCGGCGTGGCCATCGTGGGCGACTACACCAAGACACTGCCCAGCGAGGCCGTGCTGCGCACTGTGCGGGACGTGCTCCCCAGATGCGCGGTGCGCGCCGGCCTCCTACGGCGGGACTACCAGGTGCTGGGCCATCGCCAGCTAGTGCACACCACCCAGTGTCCTGGTGACGCGCTCTTCCGCCAGCTGCGCACTTGGCCGCGCTTCTCCGAAGTGAGTCCACTGGGCGCTGGGGCTCCGCGCAGCCCCTGACGCATCCTCCTGGCAGCCCTTGGATGCGCCAACCTAGGCCCAACTTTCAGACACGGGCAGCAACATCCTCTTCCCTGTGTCTTCTGTCTGTATAACCTCAGCCCAGCTCATGCAGCGTTGCTGTTGCTCTGGGGCCCTGCCCAAAGGCTTTCCATCCACATAACACTAACCTAGCCTTTGAATCTACCCAAAACCCCTTTGCCTGCACAGCCTCTATCCAGGCCCTAACCCTCTATTGCAATCCTCGGTCCAGCAAATCTCAATCCTGAAGATGCTGGTCAGCCCCCAACATGAAGACCCAGGCAACACTACTCAGCTCCTGTGGGCAACCAGAGCTTGCCTGGGAGACCTCAACCTCGGTCACTGAAATGCTTTATTCAAACCGGGACAATTTCACCCCACCTGTGTGCCACCACTCCATTTCCTTAGGCCACTGAGACCCCCTGGCTGGCAGTGAGCTTTGTAGCCACTCCCACACTTTGGGCCTTATCCAAGGTCCCACCGTGAGGAGGGTGTGCAGCCTGCTACACATGCACTCCAGTCTGATATCTCCTTTGTCTTTCAGACTGGAAACTAAGAATTACAAGGATGGCCTCTCAAAGATCCAGGAGGGCACCACCTCTTGTGGTCCATTTTTCCAGCAGCTGCAGATCTCCAATAAAGTCAGCACAGAAAGAAAAATCTCTGGTCTCACATTGTCTGCGTCTGTGCACATTGTCTAAGTTTTGCTTTGTCCAGAAGCAGACCTGAGACAAAAATCCAGAATAAGGGGCTGTGGATGAGCCTCAGCAGTAGAGCTGAGCATGCTTGAGGCCCCCATCTCTAGCACCACAAAAATAAAAAAATATTTTAATATAAGCCAGATGTAGTGGCACACACCTGTAATCCCAGTGGGCTGGGAGGCTGAGGCAGGAGGATCACAAGTTCAAGTGACTCACCAAGACACTGACTCAAAATAAAAAATTTTAAAAAAGGGCCAGGGATTTAGCTCAGTGGTGCCGCCACCCGCCTCACAAGCACAAGATCCTGAGTTCAGTCCCCAGAACCAAAACATAAAAATAAAAACATTTAAAAAGACTAAAGGTGTAGCTCAGTGCAAAGGCCCTGGGTTCAGTTCTCAGTACAATAAATAAATATACAGTACAAGTAGTTGGGAGGTGCCCTGAGACATATCAGTTGCAAAATTAGGAAGAAAAGCAGGGAAGGAAGAGCAGCCAAGGAAGGGTATGTTATCAAGGAAGTTCCCACTGAAGTCAACCAGAGCTCACTCCCACAAGGGCAGCACAGGGCAGCATACCTCAGGGGCGTCCCACAAAAGAGGTGAGGGAGTCGGGGTCGCCGATTGAGGGCCACTCTTTGGGAAGTGTTCATTCCATGGCATTTGGGGGCTGCTTGTCACATGGGGAGAATGGACTCCATTTGCTAGAGAAGGGACTTCTCCAGCAAAAATGCAAGAAGAAGCCAGATGTAGTGGTGCAGGCCTGTAATCCTAGCACTCAGGAGGCTGAGGCAGGCAGATTGCCGTGAGTTCAAGGCCAGCCTGAACTAATTAGTGAAACTCTATCAAAAGAAAAAAGAAAGAAAGAAAAACAACAACAACAAACGCAGTGAGTACCAGCATGGTGGTGCACACGTGTGATCCCAGTACTCGGGAGGCTTAGGCAGGAGAATCACCATGAGTTCGAGGCCAGCTTGGGCTACATAGTGAGTTCAAGGCCCGCCTGCACTCCATAAGCAAGAGCTTGTCTCAAAAAAATAAAAAAGAAAGCAAAAGAAAGCAATTTTTCAATTAAACATAAAAATATGTTGCAATACTCCATGGCCCATGCCTATAATTCCAGCTATTAGTGAGGCTGAGGCAGGAGGATTGCAAGTTCAAGGAAATTTAGTGATACCCTATTTCAAAATAAAATTTAACTGGCCAAGAATGTAGCTCAGTGGCACAGCACCTGCCTGGCAAGTGTTGTAAGGCCCTGAGTTGGATCCCCAGTGCAAAATAAAGTAAAATAAAAGAGAGCTGGGGGTAGAGTTCAGTGGTAGAGCACTTGCCGAGAATGCTCAAGGCCCTGGGTTTGGTCCCCAGTACCACACACACACAAAAAGGAAAAGTAGGGCTGTGTTGCAGTGTAGAGCCCTTGCCTCACACGTGTGAAGCTCTGAGTTTCATCTCCAGCCCGACAAAAACTTGTTTTTGTTTGCTTTGACACAAGGCCTGGCCTTGAACTCACTGTGTTGCTCAGATTGACCTTAAACTCATAGCAATCCTCCTGCTTCTGCCTCCCAAATGCTGGGATGACAGGTGTGTACCACCACACTGGGCTACGTTACAAACATTTTGAAACTTGATGTTATCATCTGGTACAAATAAGGAAACCAAGATTCAGCGAGGGGGAAATGACTTGCCTGAGATCACACAGGGGGAGAGCGGCCAGCTGGTACTCAAACCAGTTCCTGTCTGGCTTTTGGGTCAGAATGATGCTGACTCGCTCATTTGTTAGATCACTGTATGCCCACCTTTTTATTTTTCATGTAAACACTTATTGAGGTACACCAAAATATATTGTTTAATGAATTTCACAACACACCACATCCATGGAAACTGCATTCAGCTCAAAAACAGAATGTGTCAAATTTGAGTTATATGAATTTCGCTTCTATTTTTAAAAATAAATAAATAAAAACACCAGGCGTGGTGGTGCATGCCTGTAATACCAGCACTCAGGAGGCTGAGGCAGGAGGATTGCCATGAGTTCTCAGCCTGCCTGGGCTACCTAGTTCAAGACCAGCCTAACCAATACTCTAACTTATTACACATAGTCTCTCCTGCTTAGGAACTTTGTATTAATGGAATCATATAATACATACTTTTTTGTTGTGGTGGTGGTCCTGTGGATGTAATCCAGGGAGCTACATCCCCTACCCTTTTTTATTTTATATTTTGAGAGAAGGTCTCACTAAGCCATTAAGTTTCCCAGGCCGGGCTTGCATTTAAAAATCCTTCTGGGCCGGGCATGGTGGCGCACATCTGTAATCCCAGCACTCGGGAGGCTGAGGCAGGAGGATCGCTGTGAGTTTGAGACCAGCCTGAGCTACATAGTGAGTTCCAGGTCAGTCACTACATAGTAAGACCCTGTCTCAAAAAAACTAACTAACTAACTAACTAAATAAATAAATAAAAATCCTTCTGCCTCAGCCTCCTTGATTGCAGGGAATACAGGCCTACACCATTACACCCAGTTTATAAGATACATACTCTTCACATTGTGTTTGGCTTTTGTTTTTGTTTTGGCTCAGTAGTAATCGACCTGATCTGAGGTCAATTACTCAGTAGCTCTTTGTCATTGCTGCAAAGTATCCCACTGTGTGAAGACATTATAATAAATACAAAATTTTAAATCTATTTTTTTGCTGGGCCAGGGATTTAGCTCAGTGGTTCCACCGCCTGCCTTGCAAGTGCAAGGTCCCGAGTTCAATCCCCAGTACCCACCCCAAAAAAACCTATTTTTTAAACAGGGTCTCACTATGTATTCCAGGTTGGCCTTGAACTCACTATGTAGCCTAGGCTGGCCTCAGAGTCACAGGCGATCCTCCTGCCTCAGCCTCCCAATTGCTGGGAGGACAGATATGGGTCACCATGCCCAGTTTAAAATAATCTATCCTGAGGTCTGGAGATTTAGCTCAGTGGTTCCTGAGCCTGCCTCACAAGCACAAGGTTCCGACTTCAATCCCTGGTACCAACCATCATCATCATCATCATCATCTATCCTGGGCCAAGGATTTAGCTCCATGGCACCAGGCCTGCCTCACAAGAGCAAGGTCCCAAATTCAATCCCCAGTACTAAATAAATAAACTGATCAATCCCTTAAGGAGATCAGGCCAAACAACTCTCCCACTTGGTTTTTTGGGGTTTTTTGTATCGGGGATTGAACTCAGGACTTTGTGCTTACAAGGCAGGCGGCAGAACCACTGTGCTCATCCCCAGCCCTTACAACTCTGGCCAGCAACAAGTGAGAATTCTGGGTGCTAACCTTTGCCATCATTAATCCAGAGTGTGACCATTTTATGGACGAGACAACTGAGGCTCAAAGAGAGGCTCATGTGCTGCCTCTTGGTCGGTGAGGGATTCTGGGGCCGTCTTGCCAGAAGCCTGCATGGGCACCCTCCTCCGCCACCTCCCCTACACCCCCACCCTGCATCCTGCCCCATGCAGCCCGGCTGTGGGTTAGGGTAGGACAGCCAGGGTCACGTGGAGTTGGGTTCAGTGGGAGGAAGCCCAGGCCAAGTGCAGACGGCTGCTGATTCTGGGGCTGGCCAGGAAATCAAGGTAAGAGAGAAGCGGGGTCATGGCCCCCAGGTGGGTTCCCTGGAGGCAGAGCTGAGAGCAGAGAGCGGAGGGAGGTGAGGACAGACCCAGGCAGACGCCGGGCACAAAGGTCACCTTCTTGCCCTCCAGGGTCGCCTCCGCCATGGACTCACCGTCCCCGAGCCACCTCTGCCAAACCCAGCCCGCGGGCCCCTCCCCACTGACATCCTACCGCTGGCACCTGGGGGCCAGCGGGCAGAAGGAGAAAGCGGCTGGGGGCTTCCGCTGGGGCCGCCTGGCCAGCTGGGGGAGGACACTGAGCCACCAGGAGCCCGTGGTGAGCAGCCAACCGGCCCCTCGCTCACGGTTCCGTCGGGTGCTCTCTGCACCCCCCAAAGAGTCACAGAGCAGTCGCCTCTGGCTCTCCAAGACGCTCTGGAGTCGGCACAAGAGCCCATCACTGGAGCCGGAGCCGGAGCCGGAGCAGGAGGGCCCAGGTACGGGCTCCCCCACCCGGCGCAGGACTGCATGGGGCAGCCGGGTAGCCGGATGCTTGGGCTTTGTTTGCCACCGGCGGCGCATCAGCCCTCTCTAGACACAGGAAGTTGTGGGGAGCACAGAAACCTGGCAGGAAGTGGGGGGGCGGCAGCGTCTTCCTTCTTTCACCCAAAGAGGGGTGGGGGCGGGGTCGCCAGGGACCTCCCGGAAGTCTGCGGAAGGGACAGGGACTCACAAAAGCACTGTGGTCTATGGTAGCGTCCAGACGCCAAAGGCTCTTGGCCCTAACTGGTCTCTCATGTGTCTTAGTCTCGTCACCTCCCTGAGCTCCACTTCCCCGTGTTTTTTTTGCTTTGGTTTGGTTTGGGTTTGGCTCGTTTGAGACGGGGTCTCGCTGTGCAGCCCAGGCAGACCTTGAACTCACAGCCATCCTCCTGTCTCAGACACTCAAGTGCTGCGATGGCAGATATGTGCTACCACACTGGGTTTCCCCATCAGCTCAACGGTATTATTGATCTCTACCTTGAAAAGCATATCATTTTACGAATTCATGCTCAGTCAGTCACGCAGGGGGTTGTCACACAGTTAATGTGTGTCAGTCCCTGACTGAGACAGAAGACGTGGTGGTGACCAAGTCAGGTGATTTTCCCTGAACTTTTGCGATCACGGGAGGGAGGGTAACAGTTTTAAAAAGTCAACAGAAAATGACAGAAGAAGGCCGGGTGTGATGGCGCACATCTGGAATCCCAGCACTGGGGAGGCTGAGGCAGGAGGATCACCACAAGTTTGAGGCCAGCCTGTGCTACATAGTGACTTCAGGGCTAGCCTGAACTACATAGTGAGACCCTGTCTCAAAAAACAA